ATTATATTATGGTTTATGAATAGACTCCAGATTTGATATGCACTAGTTCTATGTCTCCCTTTGCTGATACAGTCCAAAACATGGGATTTTTATAAAGATTAATAATGTTCAGCATGAAACATTTTAACTGTTATTAAGGATGAACACTAAGGGCAGGCTTTGCTTTATGTAGCAGATACACCCTGAAGAATTGTGTGTACTTATTCCTTTTCTTATTCTTTTTTTTCTACATCAAAAACTGAATTATACCTTACTGTATAATTAGAATATGATTTCAAAGATTATTCACATTAAACATTTTTATTTTGAGACATGTGATCACTAGCGAAAATCATGCTTATTAATGGGGCAAACCCTTTAAAGTCACAACAAAATTTTATATTAAAACTTCACTATATACTCAGAAAATCAATTCTTGTAATAAATCAGTATATTACAAAAAATATGTTGCCAATGAGATAGTTAACAAAAGATCTTTCATATTATTATGGAAACTCCAAGTGCACTTTTTTTTTTTTTTAGAGAGAGAGAGAGAAAGTGGGGAGGGACAGTGGAAGAGAATCTTAAGCAGGCTCCATGCCCAGTGCAGAGCCTGATGTGGGGCTTATCTCACAGGCTTGTGAGATCATGACCTGAGCTGAAATCAAGGGTGGAACACTTAACTGACTGAGCCACTCAGGTGCCTCCAAAGTGCACTTCTTAAACAATTTTTCTCTGTGGTGTTCCCTTAAGGTTTTTTTATACCTTTGTCTATTTCTCCACAACTTAAGTATTATTCTGCTATAGTAGATTTATAATTTATATCCACTTTCACTTACAGGGATGGTATGCTGTTTCTTTAAATTAACACTCCTGTACTTCACTTTTCCCTTCACATTTTACTATTTTTAAACTTTTAGAAGAGAAATTGTGTGAATCAAAGTTTTAATGGTAAAGGGAAAGTAGAATCCAATTAAAACATCAAGAAATAAAGCAATACAAAACCTACAAGACAGGGTGAAGTGTTTACTTTAGTATCATAGTGTAAAAGAATGATCATCCTGTAGTATACTATGGCATTCTTGTTATATGAATGCTTTATTATATAGTTAAAAATAATGTTGTTAGGTGAAGATGGCTACCTTATTTATGTAGAGGGTAAAATTTCCCAAGATTAAGATTACTCATTACCAGATTTCTGCCCATCACCTGGAATGTGTTTTTATTTTATTTTTTTAAGATGTTACTTATTTATTTGACAGAGAGAGACACAGTGAGAGAAGGAACACAAGCAGGGGGAGTGGGAGAGGGAGAAGCAGGTTTCCCGCAGAGCAGGGAACCCAATGTGGGGCTTGATCCCAGGACCCTGGGATCCTGATCTGAGCCGAAGACAGATGCTTAATGACTGAGCCACCCAGGCACCCCACCCGGAATGTGTTTTTAAAGAGAAAACCAGCATTGTCACTTTTAGCCTTAGCAATGAAGGGGACCAAGGCATTTAAAAGACCAGTTTTTGTATTGGATGTTATGACAGTACATTTTCTGTGGTTGTGGAATATGACTAGGAAGTAGATGAGGTTCCTAGATATTTAACCAGCCTTTTAGGTCAATTTTGATTACTGTAACATTGTAGTAAATTTTGAGACAAGGTATGAAATGGTGCAGGGCTTGTCAGCCCTGTGAAAGAGGTAGAGACAGAGGTCTAAGCTTTGGAAGCTGAACTTCTGAATTTGTTTATTTCCTTTTTTAGTCTTAATATGTGTGAAGCCTTTTGAAAACCAAGGAAATTAAACAAGAAAAAAGAACAAGAAAAAGATATCCACATTGGAAAGAAGTAAAATGACCTCTATTTGCAGATGACATGTTCTTGTAAATAAAAATCTCTGAATAATCCTCAAAATATCTACTAAATCTAATAAATGAGTTCAGCAAAATTACAGGATACAAGATTAATATTCAAAATTCAGTTGTATTTCTATGCGCTAACAATGAATAATCCAAGATGGAAATAAAAATCCATTTACAGCATCAAAAATAAAATACTTCAGAATAAATGTAATCAAAGAAGTACAAGACTTGTATGCTCTAAGAACTACAAAATATTGCTGAAATGAAAGATACCTAAATAAATGAAGGGACATCCCATGTTAATGTATTGAAAGACAATTTTGTTAGTATGGCAATATTCCCCAAATTTATTTGCATATTTATTGTGATCCTTATCCAAACTTCAGCTGCTTTTTCTTTTGGAGAAGGGAACAAGCTGATCCTAAAGCTTATATGGAATTATAAGGGATCCTGAACAACCAAGAACAAAGCTAAAGGACAAATACTCTCTGATGTCAAAAATTATTACAATGCTACAGTAATCAAAGGTATGGTACTGACATGTAGACATATAGATCAGTGGTATAGAATTGAGAGTCCAGAAATTAATCCATACATCTGTGGTACATTGATTTTTTAAGAGTGCCAAGACCATTCAATGGGGAAATAGTGTTTTCAAGAAATGGTGCTTGGACAAATGGATGGTCACATATAAATGAATCAGATATTTAAATGTAAGCGATAAAGCTACAAAACTCTTCAGATGTATGGGTGTATATCTTTGTGACCTGGGTTTTGGTGCCAGATTCTATAGATATGCCACCAAAAACACAAGCAACAAAAGAAAAATACATTAGACTTAAATCAGAATTTAAAACTTGTGTGCATCAAAGGATACTCTCAAGAAAGTGAAAAGACAACCCATAGAATGGGGAAAACTTGCAAATGATTATAACTGATATGACACTTGTAGCTAAAATATTCTCACATCTTACAACACAATACTAAAAAGACAACCCAAGAGAAAAATGGGCAAAAGATTTGTTAGACATTTCTCCAAAGATACACAAATGGCTGATAAGCACATAAGATGTTCAACATCATTATGGAAACTCAAATCAAAATCACCATGATTTTAACCACCCCAAATAACTCCACTAAGATGGTTATAATAAAATATAGACAATAAGAACTTTTGACAAGGATGTGGAAATATTAGAACCCTCATACATTGCTGGTGAGAGTATGAGATGCTGAAGCCACTTTGGAAAACAGTCTGAAAGTCCCTCAAAAAGTTAAACATACCATTACTATATAATCCAGTGGTTCTGCTCCTAGATATATACCTAGGAGAAATGAAAACATACATGTGCACAAAAACTTCTACATGGATATTCATAGCAGCATTATTTATAATTGACAAAAATATGGAAACAACTCAGATGTTCAAGAAACAATGTAGCATATCAATGGAATATAATATTATTCTGCCATAAAAAGAAATTAAGTAATGATACATGTTAACGTGGATGAACCTGAAAACATTACGCTAAGTGAAAGAAGCCAGACACAAAGGCCCCATATTGCACGATTCCTTTTATATGAAATATCTAGAATAGGCAAATCTATAGAGACAAACTAAATTAGTGGTTAACAGGGACAGGTGAGGAGAGGATTGGGAATGGAAAGATTGCTAATTGGTATTTTGTTTTTTATTTGGGTGAAAATGTTCTGGAATTCGATAGTGGTGGAAGTTGCACAATAGTGTGACTGCACTAAAAAACCACTGAATTGGAAATGGTTAAAATTGTAAATTTTATGTTAATTTTATTTCAGTGCAAAAAAATTAAAAACGCTTTTGTGAATCTCACAATAGAAAAAATCAAGCACTATAATATTTCACTATCTATATTTTTAGAAATATAAAAAACTACAATTATTTTTGAAGAGAATTTTTATTAAGATCAATCTAGTAAAATTTTATGGATACACATATAATCAGAACTGCCCTTCTGAAAAAAATTGTAAATCTTTAAAAAATGGAATTGCAATTTTATTTGTTCACAAGCTGATAATAAAGTTATATCTGAGAAAGAATTCTAACTCTTTATTACAGAAAATAGTTAACATTTTTTATAAAAGCAACCTAGAGAACCACAAGAATTTTGGAAGAAACTTTTCTGGATCTCCCCACTTTGTGAAATTATCACATATAGGAGTAAAATTAAAATTCAAAGATTTAACACATAAGTTACACAAAAGGAAATTCACCGACAAAGTTGAAAGCATATTTTTTATATATTCTATTATGATCACAAAATGTATAAAGGTTTCATGTTAGCTACTTTGTGACTAATAATCAGTATGAAGATGTTCTGAAATTAAACTGATGCTAAAGAAAAGCTGTGTTTATAAAATATTTGATAAAAATATTCATCTCTATTAACATTACAACATGGAGGCACATATTACTGATTATGAAACTATATAGGGCAGCTTTAAACAATACTCTGAGATTCTTCTTTTTTTTCATCGTTTTTGACCTCTCCTTTTTCAGCTACTTCTTTTCCCACTTCAGTCTTCCTCTTATTTTCCTTTCCCTTTCATCCAACTTTCCCATCTCCCTTTCCATTTTCTTCTGTTCCATCTTCCTTTTTTCCATGTTTGCCCTCTTTTCCATCTTCTCCTTTCTCATTTCCATCTTCCTCCTTATTTCCAACTTCCTCCTCGTTTCCACCTTTCTCCTCTTTCCCGTCTTCATCCTCTTTTCTGTCTTCACTCTCTTTTCTGTCTTCTTCCTGTTTTTCTTCTGCTGTGTCTTTTTCATCTTCAAATTCTTTGACATCTTCTCCTTTTCCCTTTCCATCTTCACACTCTTTTTCATCTCCTTTCTCTTTCTCCTTTTCTTCTTCTTCCTCTTTGCTATTTTCTCCCTTCCCTTTTCCATCTTCACCCTTTTTTTCATCTCCTTTTTCTTTTTTCTCTTCTTCCTTTCCATCTTCTTTTTCTTTTCCATCTTCATCTTCTTTTCTATCTCCTTTTCCTTTTCCATCTTTGTTCTCTTTCCCATCTTCTCTTTTCTCCTCTTTTTTGTTTTGGTCTTCTCCATCTCTTTCCTGATCTTTTTCATCTTCTCCTGCTGCTGTCACTACTTCCTTCTTTTCTATTCCCTCTTCTTCAACATCTTCATTTTTTTCTTCTTTCATTTCCTCAAGTTCTTTTTCAGGAGCTGGTGCCTATATGTACAGAGAAAATTTAAAAAGATTATATTTGAAAATTTGGAACTATTTTCCTTAAGTATTTAGACAGAATTATATCTATTTTAGAAAAGAATGATACTTCATTTACAAGAAAGTAATTTTCCTGTGAAAAACACCTCCTAAATATCACAAGATAAGGAAAACATTCTAAGAAATAGGATTAACTAAAATATCTCCACACAAACATGTATAAATAGATATTTGGAACAATAAATTCAGGAAAACGTATTCATATAGAGAATTTTCATTACAAATATGGGAAACAGAGTAAATACAGAAAAAAATGGCATATATTCTATGTCAGCAATTCTCAATGAGTAAACAAAATGCATTCCTTGAGGAAATAATATTTTGTTTCTATAATAGTGAAATTTAGGTTTTCTTTGAAAAAAGTTACTTGAAAAGTCTTATTGGGTAGACTGTGGGGGAAGAACTAACATGCCCGTGTACTAGGAGGACCTTAGGTTTGCCTTGTCCCTCAAACACAGCTAGATGACTATCAAATCATTCTGAATACCCAAGAAATCTACTTGAGGACTGATAAAACGAACTGCACAAATAGAAGCAGAGGAGAAGCCAAATTGAAAAGCCAGGATTTATGGACACATGGTTTGGGGGAGAAATGGATAGTAGGTGCTATGGAGGCAAGGGAGCCCTGGTCATAGAGAAAGGTGAGAGAGAGTGGTGCGCACAGCGAGACACAGAAGGAGAACACTTCTCCAAAGCCATTGGCTGGGAAAATGAGAGGGGCTGATGTTTGTGACCTTTTGCAACCAACGGGGCTCAAAGACTGGAGTTTTAGAGGTACTCAGGGACAGAGGAGCAGGATGGCACCATTTCCCTCCTTTGTCCCTAAGCATAAACCAATCTTAGTAAATGGCACAACTCCAACACTGGCTTCCTAACCTGCTTACACAAAGACCTGCTTCCCTGTACTCTGCTGGTACTGATTTTCTCAGGGAAGTATGCCTAAGGACCAGCACAGAGGGCTCCTTCCCCCAGAAGACCAGCACAAACCCCTGCATGCACCACATCTACTGACCATAGACTTCTGCAAAACTTCAGCTCTAGTGGAATTAGTATCAAGTCTCTTTTAACAAGCAGACCAGAGCATACCTAGTTAAAACTCACCACACAGTGGCCAAGGTCCAAACACTGCCCACTGCGGGGAAGGAGAACCTCTGCAGACTACTGACCTGGGGATAGAGCAATCAAAACACAGCAGCAGAGTGCACACAGCACACACAAGAGAAAATTCTAGAAGGGCCAGGCCCTGGATACTATATGACCTATTCTTCATAAAGCCATTACTGTCAGGAAAAGGAAACACAACAGGCTTTCCTAACACAGAGAAGAAGACAGAGACCTAGACAAAATGCCAAGAGAGGAATTCACTCCAAAATAAAGAACAAGAAAAGGTCACAGCCAGGGATCTAACAGAAACAAATGTAACTAATATGCCTGATTCAGAATTTAAAGCAACAATCATAAGGATACTAGCTGGGCTTGAAAAAAGCATGGAAGACATCAGGAAGACCATTACCAGAGAGATAAAAGAGCTAAAAAACAATCAGGCTGAAATGAAAAATGCAATAACTGAGATTTGAAACTAACTATATGTAACGACCACAAGGATAGAAGAAACAGAACAAATAAGTGATACAGAAAATAGAATTGTAGAAAATAATGAAGCTGAACAGAAAAGAGAAAGAAAAATTTTGGAACATGAGAGTAGACTTAGGGAACACATTGACTCCATCAAACAAAATAATATTCATGTCATATGAATCCCAGAAGGACAAGAGAGAGAAAAGGGGGCAGGAGGTTTATTTGAGGAAATTATAGTTGAAAACTTCCCTAATTTGGGAAAGGAAACAGACATCCAAATCCAGGATGCACAGAGAATTCCCATCAAGAGTTAAAAAAAAAAAAGGCCAATACCAAGACATATTGTAGTTAAATTTGCAAAATACGGTGATAAAGAAAAAAATCTAAAAGCAGAAAGACAGAGGAAGGAGTTAAGATGGCAGAGGAGTAAGGGGACCCTAAGTTTGTCTCATCTCTTGAATAAGGCTAGATAGTTATCAAATCATTCTGAACACCAGAGAAATCAATCAGAGGTCTGAAAGAACAAATACTTCAAGTCTACAAGTGGAAAAGTGATCACTTTTTAGAAGGTAGGAGGTGCAGGGACTTGAATCTGGTGTGATATAGCTGCTGATACAGGAGGGGAGGGAGCCTGCTTAAGGAGCTTACCCACATTGTATTATAAGCAGCGGAGTGCAAAATCATAATGTTTAGAAGTCTGCTATAGTGGAGGACATGCCTGGCTTAAAGGTGCTCAGGTGGAAGAGCAGGGCAGAATTCCAGGTGTGACACCATGGTCTGAGGATCCCCTGGGTCCAGTGAGTAATGGGTGGTCTTAAGGCTGCTCTGTTCCCAGGCATAGTAGAGGGAAGCTGGCTGAGAACAGCGAGTCTAGGTGCCAGCTTTCTGCTCTGTATTGCCATAAACTTTGAACCACTGTGCAGTTGTGGGACCACTTTCCTAGGACAAGTCTGGCAAAAGGCAGAAGTTTGGTAAGACCCTACCCAGGGGGAACAGCAGGGGTCCATGCTATGGGAATCCCTAAAAGTTAGAGTTTTGAAACTCATTCACATGCTTGAGATAAAAAAAAGCTTGGACACAGGCAGGGTGAACACAAGGTTCTGACAGAAACCAGGGAGAGATGATTGCCCTTCAGTAAGGGCTCACTGAAGAGTTGGGGGTGCAAATTTTCAGCTCCATGGCTAGAGAACAGGGCATCGCCCTATTCATTCCACCCCTCAGTGCTGAAAGACTTCAGGGAGCAAAACAGTGCCACCAAAACAGTCCAGAGCCACTTACAGTAAGTACTGCCTCCCTGTGCACTGGAGGCACATATTCACTAGGGCAAGTACACATAAGAATCAGTGCAACAGGCCCCTCCTCCAGAAGACCAGCACAAGCGATTTGCTCACACCAAGTTTATTGATCATAGAGTGCTGCAAAGCTTCAGCTCTAGGGGAAATAGTATCTAGCCTCCTTTGTACTTTTATTTTTATTTATCATTATTTTTTTCATTTATTTTCTTATTTTTTCCAATTTTTCTTTTATTCTTTTTTAAATTTTATTTTTATATATACTATATATATATTTATACATATATATGTTTTGCTTTGTGTTTCTTTTCATTGAAATTTATTTTAATATATGTATATATATGTATATTTTGTTTTTTGTTTCTTTTCATTGAAATTTATTTTAACATATACATATATTTTTTTTCTTTTTTTCTTATCTTGGGATCTAGTTTCTTTTAACAAGCAGACCAAAACACACCCAGGATTTAGTTTTGTTTGTTTCTTTGTTTTTGTTGTGTTGTTATTGTAGTTATTGTTATTTTTTCTTTCTTCTTTTTTTTCTGGACAAAATGATGAGATGGACAAATTCACCAAAAAAAAAAAAAAAAAAGAACAGGAGGTAGTACTCACAGCTGGGGTTTAATCAATACAGATATAAATAAGATGTCTGAAATAGAGTTTAAAACAAAAATTATAAGGATAATAGCTGGGCTTGAAAAAAGCATAGAAGACATTAGAGACCCCCTTACTGTTGAGATAAAAGAACTGAAATGTAGTCAGGCCGAAATTAAATGCTATAATCAAAATGCAGTCCCAAGTGGAGGCTGTAGAAATGAGCATGGATGAATCAGAAGAGAGATTCAGTGATATAGAAGATAAAATTATGGAAAATAAGGAAGCTGAAAAGAAGAGGGAAAGAAAACTATTAGATCACTAAGGTACACTTAGGGAACTCAACAATAACACAAAGCAAAATAATATCCATACTATAGGAGTCCCAGAAGAAGAAGAGCAGGAAAAGGAGCTGAAGGTTTATTTGAACAAATTATACCTGAGAACATCCCTAATCTGGGGAAGGAAACAGGCATTCATGTCCAAGAGGCACAGAGAACTCCCCTCAAAATTAAAAAAAAAAAAATGTCAACTCCATTACATATCACAGTGCAACTTGAAAAACACAAAGATAAAGAGAATTCTGAAAGCAGCTCGAGACTAGAAGTCCTTAACATACAACGGTAGACATAAGGCTAGTAGCAGAACTGTCCAAAGAGACTTGGTAGGCCAGAAGGACTGGCATGATAAATTCAATGTGCTAAATGGGAAAAATGCAGCCAAGAATACTTTATACAGCAAGGCTGTCATTCAGAATAGGAGAGATAGTTTCCAAGACAAACAAAAACTAAAGGAATTCATGAACACTAAACCAGCCCTACAAGAAATATTAAAGGGGACCTTTTGAGCAGAAAGAGACCAAAAGTAACAAAGACTAGAAAAGAACAGAGACAATCTACAGGAACAACAACTTTACAGGTAATACAATGGCACTAAATTCGTATCTTTCAATAATTACTCTGAATGTAAATGGACTAAATGCTCCAATCAAAAGACATAGGGTATCAGAATGGATAAAACAAACAAGCAAACAAACAAGACCCATCAATATGCTGCTTATAAGAAGCTCATTATAGACGACAAGACACCTCCAGATTGAAAGTGAGTGGGTGATGAACTATTTATCATGCTAATGTACATTAAAAGAAAGCTGGAGTAGCCATACTTATATCAGACAAAATAGATTTTACACCAAAGACTGTAATAAGAGATGAAGGACACTATATCAAAATAAAGGAGTATATCCAACAAGAAGATCTAACAATTGTAAATATTTATGCACCCAACATGAGGGAACCCAAATATATAAAACATTTAATAACAAACATAAAAGAACTCATTGATAATAATACAATAATAGGAAGGGACTTTAACACCCCATTATATCAATGGAAAGATCATCCAAGCAGAAAATCAACAAGGAAACAATGGCTTTGCATAACACACTGAACCCAATGGACTTAACAGATATATTCAGAGCATTTCATCCTAAAGCAGCAGAATACTCATTCTTTTCATGTGAACATGGGACATTCTCCTCAATAGATTACATACCAGGTCACAAATCAGGCTTCAAGAGATACAAAAAGACTGAGATCGTACCATGCATATTTTCAGACCAAAACGCTATGAACCTTGAAGTCAAGCACAAGAAAAAAAAATTTGGAAACACCACAAATACATGGAAATTAAAGAATATCCTACTAAACAATGAATGGGACAACCAGGATATCAAGAGAAAATAATAAAATATATGGAAACAGATTAAAATGAAAACATCATAGTCCAAAACCTTTGTGATGCAGCAAAAGTGGTCCTAAGAGGGAAGCAATAGCAATATAGACCTACCTCAAGAAGCAAGAAAAATCTCAAATATGCTATCTAAACTCACACCTAAAGAAGTTAGAAAAAGAGTAGCAAATGAAGCCTAAATCCAGGAAAAGAAGGGGATTAATAAATATTACAGCAGAAATAAATGATATAGAAACAACAACAACAACAACAACACCCAGTAGGACAGATCAATGAAACCAAGTTCTTTGAAAAATTAGTAAAATTGATAAACCCCTAGACAGACTTATCCAAAAGAAAAGAGAAAGGACCCAAATAAATAAAATCACAAATGAGAGAGGAGAAATAAGAAACAATACCACAGAAATACAAATGATTTTAAGAGAATATTTTTTTTAAGATTTTTTATTTATTTATTTGACAGAGGGAGAGATAGCGAGAGCAGGAACACAAGCAGGGGGAGTGGGAGAGGGAGAAGCAGGCTTCCCATTGAGCAGGGAGCCCGACATGGGGCTCGCTCCCAGGACCCTGAGATCACAACCTGAGCCGAAGGCAGACACTTAACGACTGAGCCACCCAGGTGCCCCGATTTTAAGAGAATATTATGAAAAATTATATGCCGCAAAATTGGACAATTTGGAAGAAATGGATAAATTCCTAGAAACATACAAACTACCAAAACTGAAACAGGAAGAAATAGAAAATGTGAACAGAACCATAGCCAGCAAAGAAATTGGATCAGTAATGAAAAATTTCCCAAAAAACAAAATTTCAAGGGCACGATGGCCTCACAGGTGAATTTTATCAAACATTTAAAGAAAAGTTAATACCTATTCTTCTCAAACTATTTCAGAAAATAGAAATGGAAGGAAAACTTCCAAATTCATCTATGAGGCCTGTATTACACGGATACCAAAACCAGATAAAGACTCCACTAAAAAAAGAACTACAGGCCAATATCCCTGTTGAACATGGATGCAAAAATTCTCAATAAAATACCAGCAAGCGCAATCCAACAATACATTGATAACGTCATTCACCATGACTTTTTTTTCCAAATTTATCTATGAGGCCTGTATTACACAGATACCAAAACCAGATAAAGACTCCACTAAAAAAAGAACTACAGGCCAGTATCCCTGTTGAACATGGATGCAAAAATTCTCAATAAAATACCAGCAAGCCCAATCCAACAATACATTGATAAGGTTATTCACCATGACTTTATCAGGGTGATTCAGTATTTGCAAATAAATCAACATGATATACCACATTAATAAAAGAAAAGATAAGAACCATATCATCTTCTCAGTAGATGCAAAAATAAAAAAGTATTTGACAAAGTATAACACTCATTTTGTAAATAAAACCTCAACAGAGTAGGGGCAGAGGGAACATACCTCAACATCACACATGCCATATATGAAAAACCCACAGCTAATATCATCCTCAATGGAGAAAAACTGAGAGTTCTTCCTCTACAGTCAGAAATAAGACAGGGATGTCCACTCTCATCATTGCTATTTACCATAGTACTGGAAGTCTTAGCCGCAGCAATGAGACGACATGAAGAACTAAATGCACCCAAATCAGCAAGGAAGTAGTCAAACTTTCCCTATTTGCAGATGAGATAATAATATATAGAGAAAACCCAAAATACTCCACCAAAAAAACTTCTAGAATTGATAAAGGAATTCAGTAAAGTCACAGGATATAAAATCAATGTACAGAAATCTGTTGCATTTCTATACACCGATAATGAAGGAGCAGAAAAAATAAATGAAGGAATCAATCCCATCTAGAATTGAACAAGAAACCATAAGATACCTAGGAATAAACCTAGCCAAAAAGGTAAAAGATCTGTGCTCTGAAAACTATAAAACACTGATGAAAGAGATTGAATATGGTACAAAGAAATGAAAATCAATTCCATGCTCATGGAGTGGAAGAACAAATACTGTTAAAATATCTATACTACCCAAAGCTTACTACACATTTAATGCAATCCCTATCAAAATATCAACAGTATTTTTCAAAGAGCTAGAACAAACAATCCTAAATTTTCTATGGAACCACAAAAATCCCGAATAGCCAAAGCAACCTTGAAAAAGAAAGCAAAGCTGGAAGCATCACAATTCCAGACTTGAAGTTATATTACAAAGTTGTAGTGATCAAGGCAGTGTGGTACTGGCACAAAAACAGACAAATAGATCAATGGAACAGAATAGAAAACCCAGAAATGGTGTGCTCGCTTCGGCAGCACATATACTGAAAACCCAGAAATGGACCCACAACTATATGGTTAACTAATTTTCAATAAAGCAAGAGAGGATATCCTAAAAGACAGTCTCTTCAACAATGGTGTTGTGAAAACTTGACAGCTACATGCAGAAGAATGAAACTGGACCACTTTCTTACACCATACACAAAAATAAACTCAAAATGATGAAAGACCTAAATGTGAGACAGGAAAACATCAGAATCCTAGAGTAGAACACAGGCTATAACCTCTTTGACATCAGCCAAAGCAACTTCTGACTAGGTATGTTTTCCAAGGCAAGGGAACCAAAAGCAAAAATGAACTATTAGGACCTCATCAAGATGAAAAGCTTATGCACAGCAAAGGAAACAATCAACAAAACTAAAAGGCAACCTACAAAATGGGAGAAGATATTTGCAATTGATGTATGTGATAAAGGGTTAGTATCCAATATATATGAAGAAGTTATGAAACTCAACACCTAAAAAACAAATAATCCAGTTAAGAAATGGGCAAAAGATATGAATAGACATTTTTCTAAAAAAGATATACAGATGGCTAAAGACACATGAAAAGTTGCTCAACATTACTTAATTATCAGGGAAATACAAATCAAAACTACAATGAGCTATCACTTCATCCCTGTCAGAATGGCTAAAATTAGCAATCGGGAATCAACAGGTGTTGGCATGGATGCGGAGAAAGGGGAACCCTCTTACACTGTTGGTGGGAAAGCAAACTGGTGTAGCCACTGTGGAAAACCTTTTAGAGTTTCCTCAAAAAGTTAAAAGTAGAACTAACTTATGACCCAGCAATTGCACTACTAGGTATTTATCCAAAGGAAACAAAAATACTGATTCAAAGGGTCACATTCACCCTGATGTTTATAGCAACATTATCAAGAATAGCGAAATTATGGAAAGAGCCCAATGTCCATGGACTGATGAATGGATAAAGATATATATATATATATACACACACACAATGAAATATTACTCAGCCATCAAAAGGAATGAAATCTTGCCATTCGCAATGATGTGGATGGAGCTAGAGAGTCTTATGCTAAGTGAAATAGGTCAGTGACAAAAACACAAGTACTATATGATTTCACTCATATGTGGAATTTAAAAAACAGAAGAGATGAACATGGGGGAAAAAAGATTGAGAGGCAAACCAGAAAACAGACTGTTAACTATAGAGAACAAACTGATGTTTGCTGGAGGGGAGGTAGTTGAGGGGTCAGTTAAATGGGTGATGGGTATGAAGGAGGGCACTGGTTGTGATGAGCACTGGCTGTTGTATGTAAGTGATGAATCACTAAATTCTACACCTGAAATACTATTACACTGCAAATCAACGAATTTAAATTAAAAAATAAATAAAGTAAAAATGAAAATTGTTTTACCTTATAACACAGGATCACTTAGAAAAAAACTTTTCCCTAAATGCACAGCTTTGATTTGTAAATTGGGAACTATATCTCATTTTCATTGTTTTGCTACAATACCTAAAAATAAGATATGTATTAAATATGCAAATAGAGACCCATAAGAAACATTTACATAATGATTTCTTTTGCAGTCTGCAGGGGAAAAAGAATCATAGGATCTTGGAAAGGGATTTATAAACAGCCCATGTGCCGGCAAAAGTAGTAGAGGATTGCTCTGTATTTAATATAAGTCATGATCCCTGGCATTACTATCTTAATTCTCTTAATAGCATTGCTAATCCACTACTCCCACTACCCATACCTGTAAATTCATGTATTTTAAGTTCAGTTTCTTATTTTCCCCTTAGATACTATTATATTATATCCCATAAACTGAATATTTGTGTCCCCCATAATTTATATGATGAAACCTAATCCCCAATGTGATAGTATTTGGAGATAGGACCTATGGGAGGTGATTAGGTCATGAAGGTAGAGCCCTCATGGATGAGATTAGTGCCCCTACAAAAGAGACCCCAGAGAGTTCTCTCACCCCTTCCATCATGTCAGGACACAGCAAGAAGGCTGCTGTGTAAAAAACAGAAAGTAGGTCCTCATGAGACACCAAAATATATGTTTTGATCTTGGACTTCCCAGCCTCCAGAACTGTAAGAAATAAATTTCTGTTGTTTATAAGTCACCTAGTCTATGGTATTTGTTATAGCAGCTGGAATGGACTAAGACACTATAGAACCACTACATATTTAATGTTTCTCAACTTTTAAAGTACAAGGCAAATAAGATTTCATTCAGCAGCACCCATTGTTAAACTTTCAAATGGACAGATCTGTTAATATTGTAAAATACCTCCATAATTTTGGCTTCTCCATTTTCAGTATTTTCATCATTACATTCTCCTTTAATAACTTCTTCTTGCTTGTTTTCAGCTATTCCTTTGACACCTGCATCTGTATTTTTTTCCATCATATCATTTTTTGTCTTCAGTTTCTGTCCAGCAACACAGAATAATAAAAATAAATGTATAACTTAACTGATGTGTTAATTAAATGGCCCAAGTTACTTTACCAGCTGCTATAATGATTTACAGAAAGCTTTAAAATATCCATATAAACTTAATATCAACAAAAATATCACTTCACACTTTTAGTTTCATCCTAAACCTAAAGCAGCATTAAAAATGAATAATGTTCTGGGACACCTGGGTGGCTCAGTCAGTTAAGTGTAGGACTCTTGGTTTCAGGTCAGGTCATGATCTTAGGGTCCTGGGATTGAGTCCTGCGAAGGGCTCCACACTTAGCACAGAGTCTGCTTGTCCCTTTCCCTTCCCCTCCCCCTGTCCTCCCTTCCCCTCCCCCCTGTCCCCCCTCCCCCTGCTTGTGCTCTCTCTCTCAAATAAATAAATAAAATCTTTTAAAAAAAATGAATAATGGGTTTGATATAAATCAAATAAACTTTCTTTTAGATGAGAAGCAACAAGTTAGAATACTGAGCAGTGTCCACTCAGAGCTAATTGCATCAGATTAGACTTTGATTAATTAACTCTTTTTGACTAGAGAGGGAGTTTATCTGTCATGTCTAATAATTAGCAACAGGATTTTGTTGATAGCAAAGCTTCCAATGGTAATAAGAGAAATACTATGTTAGCAAGAGCATCACTTTAGATATATTTGAAAGAGATAACTTGGGGACAGAGGTGACTCAATATATGTATCTACAAGTTTGAAATGACTTGAATCATGACCAAGAAAGCTCTTTGCCTGTGTGTGTAAAGAGCACTGGATTAAGAGCCAGAAAACCTGTGTTTGAATTCTGGATCTGTTACTTACTTGATGTGATCTTGAGCAAAAGTATAAATCTCTTTGTACATGTCTTTTATATGTAAAAAAGTGTAATAACACGTACCTCATAGGGATGTTATAAGGAGCAAATGATAAAATATATGTAAAATTGCTTTAGAAACTATAAAACACAATATAGGTATATTATTACTATTTTAACACGTAAGAAACTGAGAACCAAGTAAGTTAATGCATTTTAAAGTCCATTATTATATAGTATTTGTTTTATTGTAGCATTATCTTCTATTTTTAAAGGAAATAAAGTGTTTAAGATCTTTTTTTTAAAGGTTGTATTTATTTATTTGAGATAGAGAGAGAGCATGAGCCGGGGGCGGGGAGGGGCAGAGGGAGAAGCAGACTCCCCCACTGAGCAGGGAGCCAGATGCAGGGCTCGATTCTAGGACCCTGAGATCATGACCTTAGCCTAAGGTAGACACTTAACCCACTGAGCCACCCAGGTGCCCCAGCTATCTTAATAACCTATAAATTGGGTACCTAATTTTACAGAATAGTGACCTTGAAATGTGAAATAGAGAAAAAAAATTTAAAAACCTTTCTCTTCTGTTGTCACTTATTGTTGCTAAAATTTCACTTGCCCTAGTTTTAGCAGTTTTTTAATGAATTCAGAGCATTTTATAAATATGACTATAATTTACAGTTTCTCCAATCACAAAATGATGGGATTTGATGATTTTAATGTTCCTCCTAGCTTTAACCTTTCATGATTTTAGGAATTTAACCAATCTTTAAAATATTATCCATACCTCAATAAAGCAATTTAAAAAATTAATTGTATTATATTTACACATAATTACACATAAATAAATAAATATAAATATGGGGGGAAAGTGCAGTTAATATTGAGGCTATTTCTATTTTTCATGTTGTTAGCCTCAACATCAGAGTATATAATTCTATATGAAATCAATTGTGTTCATTTAAAAATAATGTATGTGAAAACACTGCAAACTGTGCAAACTGTAAAGTATTATCAAATGTTAGTTACTCCTACTATTACTTTGGTTACTACAGTTTACACCTTTTGTTTTCCCAGGAATATTGGTGTTGTGACTATATGATGTTAAAGTCATGTACATTTTACAGGTCTACCCAACTAAAATTTTGTTTTGTTTCTTCCTAATGAAAATGCCAAAACACAGAACATGAACAAATATCCTTACTCCAAAAGCTTACATGTACCATATGGTATAATGTAATATATTACTAACTAAACAGAAAATAAAGAAAGCAAAATGATCAGCTGCATGCCTTTCCAAAAAAATTATTTCTGAAGTAAAGCAATTTTCTCTCAACATTGCATGTTGAATATTTACCTTTGGAGTTGATGTTCTTTTGGGCTTCAACTCTGGTGTAATGGGCACAGGCATCTGCATCAAAAAACACAAGTCATGGGGGGGGAGGAAATCATAATTGAAGAAAGATCACTAATAATGAAATCCAACCTTTTAATTTAAATAAATGGGTGTTTATTTAGGAAACAACTTATTTAGGAAATAAATATTTATTTAGCATTAGGGGAAAAAAAACAAAAAAATCAAACATTTCCTTGGTGTGAAAGTTTTTTACTAAGACATCCAAAATAGGGGTGCCTGGGTGGCTCAGTAGTTAAGCTTCTGCCTTCGGCTCAGGTCAAGGTCCTGGGATTGAGCCCACGCATCGGGCTCCCTGCTCAGCGGAGAGCCTGCTTCTCCCTCTCCCCCTCCCTCTGCTTGTGTTCCCTCTCTCGCTGTGTCTCTCTCTGTCAAAATAAATAAAATCTTAAAAAAAAAGACATCCAAAATAAATCTTGTATAAAATAACTAGTATTGTCCAGAATTCCCTGAATTTTAACATTTTACAATGCATGAGGAACTTTTTTTAAAGGACCGCTTACAGCAGACAGTCTGGCTGATCTTCTCTTTGGCTATAAGTAAAAAAAATAGTAATAATTAGTTAATAGAATTATGGATATACAAAACTAGTATTATTATAGTGTGAAAATATTTAGTATAACACTACATGAACATTGTTTTTAAAGAAGAAGTTGTGAACTTGAGTAGAAAATATAGTAGAAATATAAATTTTTATTTTCCCTCCCCTGGACCCTTTATATAGATAAGGAAAAAAACAATCCCAAATTAAACTTCAATGAAAACAATGGCTAATAATAAGGAAATAAAAATATAGCCCCTTCTTGCAAACTGACAGAGCAATTTATTTTCTTAAAAGGAAGAAGCTCTCTCCATATCTTAAGCATAAGGTCCTAAATTCCAAGAGGTTTGGAATTTTCAATACCTGCTATACTTCTGAAAGAGCTCACAGGCATACCATATTGGTTCTTATATGGTACAAATATACAAACCAGTGTCAATTTCTTAGCTGTTTAAGTGTCTCAAATTCATAAAGCAAGTGGATTTTTTCAGACAGATTCTAAAACTAAAAAAGAAAACAACAAAAAAAAACCTCACCTCCTGCCTCATATCACCTTGACTGGCAGCCTATACAAATGAGAAAACCACACAGAAATAAGATCATTGATATAAACACATAGATCAGAAAATATTGCATGGATTACAGTTGTAACATAAACACTTATGACTTTTTCCTGGATTCTGGCTCAAGTAGCCACATGTTATTTCCTAGTAGCATGCTACATACTGCTGTCCACTAACGTGCAAATGTGCACCAAGATGCAAATCCATTCTCAAGACATAAATTTGCACAACTGATAGTCAATTCCACCCTTTTGTGTAAATTACATCTCCTAAAAACAAACCTTTTAAATTTTAAAATCCACCTGCTATAGCCAGTGTTAAAGCCAAAAAAAAAAAAAAAAAAAAGTGTGGGGCCAGCAGAATGAAGGCGGAACTTAATGCAATTTCCCTGTTTTGCCTTATGTTTTATATGCAGTTGTACTTATTGGACGCTTTCTACTGACTGGACAATTCTTTCCAAGTTTTTCATACAAGAACTACAACCCCAAAAATGCTTCAGTGCTCTCCTTTCTGATCTCTCTCCTTTCTTTCTTTCTTTCTTTCTCTTTCTTTCTCTTTTCTTTTTCTTTCTTTTTCTTTCTTTCTTTCTTTCTTTTCTCTTTCTTTTCTTTCTTTCTTTCTTTCTTTCTTTCTTTCTTTCTTTCTTTCTTCTTTCTTTCTCTTTCTTTCTCTCTCTTTTTCTTTTGTCTGCCTCTCTCTCTCTTTCTTTCTTTTTCTTTTTTTTTTGGAAGGAAACTGCAATGTCAATGCGTTATTCTGAGGAGCCGGCCACGGATTTTAAAACTTCCCGCCACTACCTGCTTCAAGGTTGCTCTCAGCTCCGTAAAATAGCACGACCCATTGCACAAACCTAGAAAAGCTCAGCGGCGGGAATCTCAGGAAGGGGGATGGTTATTAAAAACCATTGCTTTCTGTATCTGAGCAGCCCTTCAGCCTGGGAATTATCAAGCTATTACATGATTCATACTCACAGCCCCAGAGCATGGGGGAATTTCGGTCTTACTCCTATGTTCTAGAAATAGGGATGGTAGACGGATAAATAGGAATAATATCAAAACAGTCACAATGCTTTACATCAGCGCAGTGTTTTACAATTTTGTCAAGCAATGAAACAGCATTTGATTTCACTTCTAAGGGACCCTGCCCCCCAAAAACAACAAACATTCAAACAAACACCTGGCGTGAATTTATCTCCTGTCCAAGAGAGGAGTCACAAATTTTGAAGTGAGGGTTTGCAGAATACCTGTAGCCCTGGAATAGCTCAGATCAATTCTGCATGTCTAAAAGGGAACAAATCCATGCTACCCCAACATCAGTAATAGTTTATTTTACTCAGTTCTCTTGCCATCTCTCCACCTTCACACACAGAGTTTGGTGAACCCCAGATGTCTTAGCCCTAAAGTTGCTAATTGCAGAGGTGAATCTCTCCCTTCTCTAGGACAGTTTGAAGTCTGCGCCGCCTAATGGCACAGGATTACCATTGCATAGCCATCTGGCATGACAAGAAGTGGAGGAGGGAAGGGGGGAAAAAAAGGAAAAAGAAAACGGGAAGAACAAAGGCGAATACGGGAGAAAGCCTTGGCTTAAGTTACCCCAAACGGGACGGTTCCCGGAGAAAAGCCCGAGGCTGAGGAGGAAACTGGTGCCTGGAAGTGCGGTTGAGAGAAGTGTTCTCCAATAGGGTAAGCGGAGGAAGGGGGGTGGGGTAGGAAGCGACAGCACAGCGCTATGGCTGTTTATAATTCAGCATGGAGACACCTCTTAAACGATTTATTTCCCTTAAACAAAACAAGCCGAAAGTGAACTACTAGTTGCATGCAAGACCATCCTAAATCTTACACCGATCTTTCTTTGCCCTTCCTTCCCCTTCCATTCAGTACATCACAAAATCTAACTAGAAGCCAAAATGCTTTTTAAAAAAATCTCCGCGGATTAGGAAATATGTATTTCAGTCGCTAATCCCCTTTCTATCTTCCCATTTCTCTTACCTTTCTTTTGGGCATTGTTGCAGCTCTCTATAGGAGATCTTAACAATCAGCAGAAAAAAAGCCGAAAGCAGTCTCTGTCCAAGCGCTCAGAGAGCAACTGAGTTTTCAATGAACTAATTGCAGCACGACCTGTACTCGGCTCAAAAAAAAAAAAAAAAATCCCTCGTTATTGGCAACATTAAATACACCAAGACGCAACCAAACTACGTGAATGGTTAGCAGGAGTGGGAGCCAGATTTGAGTGACAGGCTGTCAGACCAATAAGGAAAACTGATCTGCCCAAGGGGCGTGGCCCACGGACTTGCAAGAAGCCCTCTTAATGCTGGCTGTTCAGACCGCTTGTGTGGTGGAGGAGCACGCGGACTTGATAGATGTAAAATGTTCAAGCTTAAGACCGGCGGGAAAGCCAGAGTTGTCTTGAATTTTTTTTCTTTTATGTTGTAATGGCAGGCGAAAGTCACCGCAGCTGCCTTCTCCACAATTTCCAAAACCTCCACTTTTACTTATTTACAGGGTGAAAGTGTTTTTGAGATCAGGTTGAGTCTGGGCTCCAGTCTTTACATTCTACCTCTGGCAGGAAGATGAAAATGAACTGAGGGGAGCATTCACTCAGAAAGTAGAAAAGGCTGGAGCTCTTTCTCTGGTTGTGGGAACTTCCCGCCAAAGTAGTGTTGCAGTCCTGGCAGAGGAGAGTGCCAAAATGATGTGTCTCCTGCAGGTGGAGAGTCGAAAAAAAACTGGGAGCTGGAAGAGCAGAAGAGCCTGAAGGTGCAGACACCTGATAAACACAGTTATCCCACTTGGTAAGAGTGCACCAAGAATGGGACCTCGAGTGAAGTTAGAGGAAAAGTGTTGAAACGATAGGTTTTGAATCCAAAGGTGGCATTTAGTGAAGGGTCTCAGAAAGGGGCCACACGAAATAGTGTTTAGAACTCAGAGTCTGGCTATGATCAGTCAATTAAGGCCCTCAATTTTTTTATTATGTTATGTTAATAAGGCATTCAATTTAAGGATGAACCAAAAACTCAGATTAGGGTGAGGCGATTGAGGTGAGTCATGCAAGTGCAGGGTAGGATCGTGTCGGTTTTTTGTTTTGTTTTGTTTTTGTTTTAATTTTGATATTTTGTTCATCATAGACTTTTTTACATTAATTTAGATATTTAAAATAGTGCATTAAATATATAACTTCGTTACTGAGTTTTGGGATTCTCCTTATATTTTATGCACTCCTTAGGAGAGTGCCTCCTTAATCTCACCATAGTTTAACCCATCCTTAGGTGGATTTCTACTCTAAAAGAGGCTTCTAGGGGAGCCTGGGTGGCTCAGTCAGTTAAGTCTGCTTTCCTCCTGGGATCGAACTCTGCACTGGGCTCCCTGCTCAGCAGGGGAGTCTGCTTCTTCCACTCCTTCTCCCTCTGCCCTGCTCCTGTGCACGTTCTCTCTCTCGCACTCTCTCAAATAAATAAATAAGATATTAAAAAAAAATAAAAGAGGCTTTTATCTGCCTTCCAAAGTTAGTTCCTGAGACCTAAATTGGTGGGAGTGGGGGTGGGAATTGGCAAATAATGTACTTGGGGATAATTATGGAGGATCCAGGTCGCAAAGCATTTCTCGGAGTACCTTGCTTTGGTTGTTGTAACAGCTAATTGTGTTTAAAAGTGCTCCAACAACAGCCCAAATCCCTATTCTAGAAGGTTAATTTAAAAAGGAAATTAATATTAATTGCCTGGATGGATTGGTCAGTTGAGACTACAACTCTTGCTTTCTGTTCAGGTCATGATCTCAGGGTGGTGAGATGGAGCCCAGTGCCAGGCTCTGCAGTCAGTGGGGAGTCGGCTTGGGATGCTTTCCCTCTTCCTCTCCCTCCCCCTCTGCCCTTCCCTCTGCTTGAGTGCTCGCGCTCTCTCTCTCTCTGTCGAATAAATAAATAAATCTTTAAAAAATAAAAAAAAAATGAAATTAATATTTTGAACAGTTAATCAAAGGAAGAATTTCATCTGTGTTCATATGGACTAAAAAATTGGAATTGCCAGTTTAAAAACTAAATAGTCATAGCTTTTACATAATGCTAAAGCATCCCTTCAAACTAAAATACAGCCTAACAGAGGAACCCATCATTTTTAATTTGCCCATTCTTCCCCAGACAGCTACATTGTGGAATTAAGCAGATTAGGTAGTATAACACTGTTTGACTACAGCTCAACTTCCCTTTTCTAACTCATTGTATTCTGATTCAAGGAGGTAAATTAAAAAAGACATTTAAATTGTTTCCTTTGCCCACAGTTGTTGGGATCATCCCTAGATGCTCTAGATGCCTGTTTTTGCTCTTATAACATAAAGTGAAAGCATAATTGGGTGAGCCTAGACATGTTTCAATCATTTTATTTTCCAAGAGTTAGAATGCAAACATAAAAACTAGGTTCAAGATGAGGATTGCCTCATAAGGATGAGAAAATAAATATGAAGAGAATGAAAAAATGTGTCAACACTGGAACGCATATACTCACCAAATTCATATCTAGCATATATTTGGTTTTGTAGACTAACCTGTAAAAATGCAAAACCCTGTGGCATGCAAATTTATATTACATGGTTTCTGCCCTTAAGGATTTTTATAATTTTGTAGGATAGAGCAAACAGTTGCATACATATTTATAAATCAAGATTGCTTATATCATATGAGTGGTGCAAACCTGCCCTATACTCTGTATTTGCTATATTATTACCTTTGACTACAGCCCCATTCTCTTATATCTTCGCCTATCAAATGTCTACCAAACTGTTCAGAACCAAGTCTAATATCACCTCTTTGACAAAAGCCTTCTCCAATCATTTCAGCCCTAAAAGATCCTACTTTCTTATTATGCTATAGAACTTAAATTGTACTATTCATATGACACAGGCAAACCTGATATTTTACAGTTTCTCTCCAACCATTCAGTCCTACAATTTCACATTGATTTAAAATTTTATATACTTATTTCCTCTTGCCTAAATATTTTCTCAGCACATCAAATTCTACATACTTTCTATGAATTTACTAACTTTAAAAACTATCTTTCTAAAAATTGATAAATTCTTTTTTTTAAAGATTTTATTTATCTGTCAGAGAGAGAGTGCATACAAGCAGGTGAAGCAGCAGGCTTCTCACTCAGCAAGGAGCCTGAGGTGGGACTCGATCAGGACACTGGGATCATGACTTGAGCCAAAGGCAGGCACTTTACCGACTGAGCCACCCGGGCATCCCTGATAAATTATTTCTTAAGTTGAGCTTTAATCTTTGTATAACTGTCAAATTGTGGGGTGCCTAGGTGGTTCAGTCTGTTAGGTGGCCAGCTCTTGTCATGAACTCAGAGTCCTGGGATGGAGTCCCTTGTCAGGCTCCTCGCTCAGCAAGGAGTCTGTCTCCCTCTCTCTCTGTCCCTCCCACTGCTCACTTGTGCACACATGCACACGTGTGCTCTCTCACTATCTCTAAAATAAATAAATAAATCTTTAAACAAAATAATTGTCAAATTGAGACTTTTTATTGACTCATATTTTTTTCTAAAATTAAATTGGCTTATTTCACTTTTAAAATTGTTTATTAATGACTATAAAGGTTCATTGTCAGACAACTTTCCACTGGACTCTCTAATTTCCTCTGAGTATTAAGTATACTTATTACCACTCTCCAAATTTACAGGAACTGTAGCATGTCCACTGGATAACCACTGGGAAATGACACAGGAAGATATGAAAAATTACAGAGGAAAGACACCAACATTAACTGTTTGACACAGGGAATCCAAAAGAAAATATTAAGATTATGTGCTTATGAGAAAAGGGATGTTAAGCAGTTAATATAAAAGGGTTCTTCAAACGTTCTGTTTATTTGTAGTTTAGAATGATGTAGTAATACATAATTAAAAGTATTTCTTATACACCACTTTACATGCAATGGGATCTCAAAAATACTGATTCATTAGTAAAAAATACTTTCTTTGCTCTGTTAAATTATCTTTCATTTTGGTTTCATCCATTACCATTATTGTTTCCATTATATTTACAAAAAAACTGGAAAAAAATCAGAAAATACCTACTGTTGCTAGCAAATAATGATGTAAGACTTCTAGTATATATTAAAATTTTGTGTTTTAAATATATCATTGGTTGGTATTTTCAGTGGAAAAAATAAATGATAAGTCTAGAGTGATCCAAATATATTAATGCACTTATTTTTGAGTCTTGTCGAAGATTGATCTGAGGCATTGTTTGGATTGATTACAGCACTTAGCTGAGACTCTGGAATAGCTTTTAGCTCATCTATAATTTTACTGGAAAACTTTTCTGGTTGGCTAAATTTATTTGAAAATTTTCAACTTCTAGTATGTATCCTCATTTACTTGAAAAGAGTTTCAAACTTTCTCATTTAGGTCATATAGACGTCTAGTTCCTTTAAATTTACTAAATTCTATCTATTAATTTGTGTTTTTGCATGAAATATAAGAGATTTAAATCTTATTTTTTTCCTCATATTTTACCATCAGCCTTATCTTATAGAAGGATACATATTAGTCCATGGCTAATAAACTACTAGGATGTAGATTGGGACAATTCTACAAGTTGTGTGAATATTATGGCACACTAAGACAATGGCATCTTTATTTCAAAACAATTATATTTTGGCTTTTTATATTTTAAATTACTTTAATGCTTCAGGCTTTTTCTATCTCCTTATCAGAGAGAAAGGGATCCCAAAGAGTAGAAGAGAGGAAAAGAGCCATACCAAAGAAGACTTTGAATTTTCCTTAAGGCAGAGGAGGTGATCGGGGAATGGGTTAGCAAGACCAGTGTACCTATTTGCACAGAGTGTCCCAGATTAAAATGTGTCTGAAGGATGTCAAATCAGATAGTAGGAATACTGTAAGAGGGGTATCTCTGAGAAGGATTGGAGCATCCTTTAGAGACAGCAAGAATTAGCACTGGAGAGCAGCACCACTTTACACTCTTACCAACACAGAAGCATGCCTACTTCCTTGGCCAGCATTTAGTATTTTAAAATGTATTAATTTTTACCAGTTGGATAGATTAAAATATCTTTTTGATTTGTGTGTCTTTAATTACGAGGAAGTTGAACAACATTTTATATGTTTGATAGCTATTTGTATTTTTTTCTGTGAATTATTTGACCATGACCTTTATTTTTCTATATGATTTTTCTTTCATCTTTTGAGCTTTTTATAGAAGTGTGTTTTTCCAGAAGAGGATTTAAATTTTTATGTAGCTGTATCACTTTTTATTTATGACTTCTTGGTTGTGTTTTCTTTTAGAAGAACTTCCCCATTCCAAAATTATAAACACATCCATTAACACTTCTCTCTAGAAATTATGTAGTTTCACTTTTTATAGTTAAATATTCGTGGACTTTATATTTTTAAGGAGTGAGTGGGGATACAGCTTTATTGTTTTCCAAACTATGATCCAGTTGTTTCAGCATAGAACTTATCATCTACAAGTGAGGAAGTTGAGGCCTAGAGCAATAAAACAACTCACCTGACATTTCTAAGTAAGTTATTAGCAAAGTTGAGAATAGAAATTAAGTCTCCTATTTTAATTTTTGGCCTGTAATTTTCCAACAAAGTACACTGACTCATTGTCACCTCCTCTGCTTAATTAATTTCCTGGCTTGATGGTATTGTGATTTAGTCTAACCCAGTAGAAATTGGATGAAAAAGCTTTTTAATTATAAACAATTATTTCCCTGCCACCAGAAAAGTGTGAATTAGAAAATGATTTATTTTCTTGTATAGGAAAGATCTATACCAGGAACTTCAGGGAGAGAGAACAGCTGTGCTTTAGATTGGTTCTTGGCATAAGTTGGAAAGGTAATGATCACAATGCTATCGTGAGAGGGAGTGGGGGGAGAATGGTAGGGAGAAAAGAAGGGGAACTGGACCTCTTTATATTTTTCTCTTGGGTCGGATCTTCACAGAGTCACTCTTTGGTGATTATTAGTAAAATATTCCCTGTTTTTCTCTAGATTAAATTAGTTATAACAGCTACTATTTATTGGAAGCTTACTGCGTGTCAGGAATTATTTAGGCTCTATGTGAATTATTTTTGGTGATCATTTTACAAGTGATATACCTAATAACTGTTGACCCAGAATTCAAACTCAGATGAGTTTGATTCCAGAGCCTATGCTCCTTTAATTACATTTCAGTTCTTTCAATTTTTATTTTATCAATTGTTTCTGCTTTTGAATCTTAGTTCAGAATTTCCTTACCAAAATCTCAGCATAAAAACTTTTGCTAATACAATGAATTAGAGAATAATTATGTTTCCTTTCCTATTTTTGCAGTTTTAAATTTTCAGTTCTTCCTTGGACATAGTGCCATCTTGCCTCCAGCTGTGAAGTAGCTACTAAATCAAGGCTAGTAGAATGTAATTATTCTGACCACAGCTATAATTCACACTCATTTATTCCACAAATATTCACTGAACACTTGTCAGGGCCCAGCCACTGCATTAGGCACTGAGGATACAAATATTTGAATCTGCTTTTTGAGGAATTCATAATCTGTTAGAGAAATAGGTGTCCCTACAAAAATTACAATGTAATTTGAGATATGATATAACTGAGATATGTGCAAAATAATATGGAAATCAGAATAAGAAGCAACTAATACTGTCTAAAAGTGGGGAGGTCAGGAAATGCTTTACTAAGGATGTGAAGAGAATAGAGGAGAGATGGGAATTCCAAGTAAGGAATTATTAATAATTCTATTTTTGTTACTCATCCTAAAGAAGTAATTGTTAAAATACAGTTTTTGTGCTAATTATTTTTCATAGTATGCATAAAAACAAATACATAACTATTAGAATACTTGCCAATGTAACCTCTCAGCTTATCTTATGGACCACCTATAGTAGTTTGTCCACACTTTGAAAAACATTCCTCTGTTAGAGACACTGGCATTGTTCCCAGGGCTCAGTGCAACTGTCTGGGTTTTTAATATAACTGGGCAATCTAATGACAATTTGAGCCATGTATTTCTCAGGCAGTGCTGAATGAATAGCCTTTCTTTTTTCCTGCTTGACTAGAGAGAAGTAGGACTCTACCCTGAGTACAGCCAGGTAAATCCAAGCAATGGAACTGTGCTGGAATTGAGAAGGACTATATAAGTGTCCAGCCAAACTAGAGACTCTGATATTGACCATCTACCATTTAGGTAAGAAGGGGCAGTTGTGGATCAATGAGCTAATCTGTGGAATAATTCAGCCTTCTTGCATAAAATATGGGCTAGATGAGACTGGCAAACGTGGCATGTATATCATTGTATGTATACCACATAATTTCACGGACATAAATATTAAAACCATTATCTTTTTAATTTAACAATTCTGATTATTGTTTTTGTTGTCAATTCATTTCAATATGTCAATTAAAATTTTAATTATAAAAGGGTTTGACTTTAGTAAATTGGATTTCCATTAGAATTTTTTATTATAATGAGCATGAAAATACCTGGTGGTTTTCAATGAGTACCAAAAAATGAATGAATCTATTGATGATGAACCTATGAATAGATTTATATCTATCAAACAAGAGTGACACTAAAAAAAGCCACAGTGTTTAAGCATATTATAAAATTTGTCTAATATAGACATAGCGGCTAAGTATTAAACTTAACCTGTTAGAAATCATGTTATGTGCTGTAATGCCATTTCTCAATTGTGTTATTGTGCTTTTTGGTTACAAGCATTGATTACAGCTGGTTTAGGACCTTCACATTGAGTTGGAACAATATTATAAGATTTCATATTGAACTAGGATGTTGCAGTGAGTTTTGGATTTATATTTGGCTTCCTTAATATTTTAAATTTGTTATGACTAAATTCCAAATTTTGTAACTAGACTTATTTTTTCTTTCATTAAACAGCTTATTGAGATACAATTCATATAACCATAAAATTCACCCACTTAAAGTGTACAATTCAATGTATTTTGGAAATTAACAGAGTTGTGAAACCACCACTACAGTCAATTTTAAGGTATTTAAATCACCCCCAAAAGAACACTGTATCCATTAGCAGTCACTTCCCATTTCCCCTAAACCCCCCACCCTGCAACTGATCTGCATATTTAACACAATTCTTAAATTCATGTGAAAACTAAAGGACTTAGAATAGCCAAAGTAAACTTAGAAAAGAATAATAAAGTTGGGGGACTTACAGTTCCCAATTTCAAAACTTATTACAAAGCAGCATTAATTAAGACAATGGCATAAGGGTAAACATATAGATCAATAGAATCAAATTGAGAATCTAGAAAGTAATCATTATCATACGTGATTAACTGATTTTTGACAAGGATGCAAAGAAGATTCAGTAGAATAAAAGGGTTTTTTTTGCCCACCTTGCCTGTGTCTGCAAACAAACCAGCAGTTCTCCATTCACCCCACATCCAGTGAGACCTGCTGAGCACCAATGCAGAGGGAGCAGACAGGGGCAGAGGAATGGTGGCCAGGTTCAGACTGAGGCTGTGGCTTCTGGTGCTGCTCCTACCCACGCAGATTTATTCAAATCAAACAACTGTTGTAACAATTTCAAGTAACTCCTCCCAGAATACCTCCACTACCCAAATCCAGCTAATGCCACCAAACCGCATGGCAACTGGCGGTGCCCTGTCGTCAACAGCCATTCTTTTTGTGATCTCATTCTCCCTTTTACATCTCTACTGTTTAAAGATTCAGACCAAAAAACATCTATACATCCCCATCTTCTAAACCCAATCGAAATGGCATCTAGACATACAATGTGACAAGTTAAAAAACAGGTTTTCATTGAATCTGCTAATTCCACATCTTATTTTATTGACACAAAAAAATGTTGAGGAACCCATATTTGGTTGGTTTGAAGAACATGTGAAGGGTTTGACTAAACAGTGAATGTCTATTAAATCTACTGGAGTTTTCTGTATAAGATGAAGAGACAACATCCAAGATTAATTAAGAGATGATTTCTTTAAATGTGGTTTAAGAAGTATTGACATGTAAAATTCTACCTTGCAAATGAGAATAGGGTTTTTTTTTAATTTTATTTTATTATGTGCTCGCTTCGGCAGCACATATATTAAATTTTATTTTATTATGTTATGTTAATCACCATAAAATACATCATTAGTTTTTGATGTAGTGAGAGAGAATAGGTTTTTATCTTACTTAGATATAAAGGATGGGATGTGAACAGACTCAGTTTTCGTTTGGTTCATTAAATCTTTAGGCCATGAAACAGGTAATACAAAAATCTTCCATGATTCCATTTATATGTACATTAGAAGGAACTTCCAGGTGTTACTGTAAATCCTCAATGCATTGTTTCAGCAGTACTAATTTAATGCCTATGTACTCTAGATAAGGTTTTACATTGTTAAGCTATCACTGTTCCTTGGAAACTGAACTTTTTCTTCTGAGGCTTTGGATTGAACATTGCATTTGATTTTTTATATAGTAATTGACATGGATTGGGATCTACCTCATATTGAAGCATAATGAATAAATTTTGCTTATATACTTATCACCTGTACTTATTCGACAAGAGTGCCAGATTCATTTAGCTAAACTGATTCCAAGGAGAAGTACATTGACCTCAACTAATTTCAAAATAATTTTTATTTCTGCATATATTGAATACTTTTTTAAAAGATTTTATTTATTTGAAAGAGAGAAAGAGAAAGAGTGAGAGATCATGAGCGGGGAGGGGGGAAGGGGTAGAGGGAGAAAGAGAAACAGACTCCTTGCTCAGCAGGGAGCCCGATGCCAGGCTTGATCCCAGGACCATGAGATCAGGACCTGAGCCAAAGGCAAATGCTTAATGGACTGAGCCAACCAGACGCCCTTGTTGAATGATCTGTTTTGAAGGTGAAATTTACAAATCTTGAAATTAAAAAGGCAAAATGCATACAGGAGCCAAAATTGTAAATCAAGTATTTGGGAAGGGAAAACTGAAAACTTACTTACATTGAATTCAGAAAAACTTCTTTAATTTTTCTGTAAATATTTTTTTTGTTTGTTTGTTTTTTTATTATGTTATGTTAATCACCATACATGTAAATATTTTTTAACTCTCAATCAGAATAGCCACCTTTGGAACACTTTCTGTTAGTCAATATTTTTAGATAGTTAGAACATGGTCCTAAGCCTAAAGTGGCTTAATTCTGGAAAGTAAATCTTTTCACAACTGCCTCAATGCACAGAAAGTTTTGTTGTTGTTTTTAAATAAACATTCTAATGTTTTTGGTTCACATGATCACACATTTATGCTTAGATATTCCAATATCTAATATGGCCACAGTAGTCTTGATAAGCAGTCATTTTTTCTCATCTTTAGGAACCTATACCAGAACAATCATATACAGCACATCTCAAGCCATTGTGTCTGTGAATGAACATTCCTTTTTGTTTCATACCCGAATACTATACATCTATTTTGGATTATATATTGTGTTTGTGTATTTATGCTTTGATTCATAGTAACGTCTCATGTTACAGAATTGATTTGCATTGAACATAAACTGTAAATAAAAAGAAATGACTGAAAGAGAAAAAAAAACTTTTCAACAAATGGCACTGGAAAGAGGGGATATACACAAATGAAGTTGGACTCCACATCGTACACAAAAATTAACTCAAAATGGATCATATACCTGAATGTAAGAGGTAAAATAAGGTCATGAATATTTACTTTTATGTTTTCTTCCAAAAGTATTATTGTTTTATCTCTTACACCCTTGTCAAAAACTTGCAACTTCATTCAAGTCCACTTTGAATAGTAGAAACAGTATTTCCATTGAGGCCCCTTTACCTTCCTTCACTTTTTAAATGCCATCATCTTGAATATTTGATGTTGATAATTTTTATTTACTCATAAAATATGATGTGTACATTGCATGAAGAAAAGGATAACCTATTGTATATACCCATATTTCTTTTTTAACAACTTTAGTAAGATATCATTCAGATACCATATAGTTCACCAATTCAAAGTATACAATTCAATTTATTTCAGTATAACAAGATTGTGCAATAATCATCACAATCAATTTCAGAATAATTTTTCTCTCTAGAAGAAAACTCTGTACCTATTAGCAGTCACTGTTCATTCCCCCCAAATTCCTCCAGCTTGGCTATCCCCAAGAAATCACCAGTTTATTCATTTTCTGTCTCTATAGACTTGCCTTGTCTGGACATTCCATATAAATAAAATTATATCATATGTAGTCTTTGTTACTGGCTTTCACTTAATATAATGTTTTCAAAGTTCATCCATGTTGTAGCATGAATCACTGCTTCATTCCTTTTTTTTAAGATTTTATTTATTCATGAGAGACAGAGAGAGAGAAGCAGAGGGAGAAGCAGGCTCCCAAGGAGCAGGGAGCCCGATGTGGGACTTGATCCCAGGACCCTGGGGTCATGACCTGAGCCGAAGGCAGACATTTAACCATCTGAGCCACCCAGGCGCTCACTACTTCATTCCTTTTTATTGCTGAGCAATATTTCATTGTATGGATATGTCACATTGTACTTATCCATTATCAGTTGTTTAGTTTTTTTTATTTGTTGCCTATAATTAATAATGCTGCTATGAACATTTGTGTACAAGTTTCTGTGTGGATGTATGTTTCTATTTCTCTTTGTTATATGTCTAGGAGTGGAATTGCAGTGTCATATTAGATCCTTTGCCCATTCTTAAACTGGGTTATTTATTGTATTATTATTGATCTTTAAGAGTTCTTTACATATTCTGAATAAAATTCCCTTATAAGATATATGATTTGCAAATATTTTTCTCATTGTTTCAGTTATATATTCACTTTCTTGATGACATTTTTTGCAGCTTAAAATATTTTAATTTTGATGAAGTCAAATTTATCTGCTTTTCTTTTCTTGTTTGTTCTCTTGCTGGCATATCTAAGAGACCATTGTAATATTGAATATACTGGTGGTTGTCTGGGCCTGGCAGGGGTGATGGAGTTTTGGGGAATGAACAATGACTGCTAATGGGCACAGGGTTTTCTTCTAGAGGGAACAATGTATTCTAAAATTGATTGTGATGATTGTTGCACAACCCTGTTATACAAAAAATATTGAATTGTACACTTTGAATCAGGAAATTATATGGTATCTGACTGATATCTTAATAAAGCTGTTAATAAAGAAATATGGGTACATACAATAGATTATCCTTTCCTTCTCTTCATGTGTTTTATACATCATATTTTATGATCAGAACAAAAATTATTACAGAATCAAATATTCAAGACAATGACATTTAAAAAATGGAGAAAATGGATGAAAGACCTAAATGTGAAACAGGAAACCATCAAAATCCTAGAGGAGAACACAGGCAGTAACTTCTTTGACATGGGCCATACCAACTTCTTACTAGATATGTCTCTTGAGGCAAGGGAACCAAAAGCAAAAATAACCTACAGGGACTTCATTAAGATAAAAAGCTTCTGCATAGTGAAGGAAACAATCAACAAAGACATCTGTGGAATGGGAGAAGATATTTGCAAATGACATACCTGATAAAGTGTTAGTATCCAAAATATATAAAGAATTTATAAAACTCAACACCCAAAAATGAATAATCCACTTAAAAATTGAGCAGAAGACACGAATAGACATTTTTCCAAAGAAGACATACAAATGGCTAACCAACACATGAAAAGATGTTCAACATCACTCATCATCAGGGGATACAAATCAAAACTACAATGAGAAAACACCTCACTCCAGTCAGAATGGCTTAAATTAACAACACAAAAAACAACAGGTGTTGTCAAGGATGCAGTTTTCTTGGGAATTCAAACTGTTGTAGCCACTCTGGAAAACAGTATGGAGGTTCCTCAAAAAGTTAAAAACAGAATTATCCTATGGCCCAGCAATTGCACTACTAGATATTTACCCAAAGGATAAAAAAATATTGATTTAAAGGGATACATGAATTGCAATGTTTATAGCAGCATTATCAATAATAGTCAAATTAGAGAAAGAGCTCAAATGTCCATAGACTGATTAATGGATAAGGAAGATGTGGTATATATATGGAACATTACTCAGTCATAAAAAAGAATGAAATCTTGGCAGAGAGGTAAGATGGCAGAGGAGTAGGGCAACCCTAAGCTGGCCTCTTCCCTTGAACACAGCTAGATAAATAACAAATCATTCTGAACACCCAAGAAATCAACCAGAACTCTAAGAAAACAAAGCTGCATGTCTACAAACCAGGAAAATGGCCCATGGAAGGTAGGAACTGCGGAGAGTTTGTGGGAGAAAAGAGCTGTGGGCACTGCCCAGGGGAAGGAGGCACTTGTCCAAAGAGGGAGTTCCAAAAGAGAAGGAAGAGAGAGAGATAAAGTGCGGGGGGGGGAAAAAAAGAGTGAAAACACACACAGGGGACTGCACAAGAAATCTATTTCCCAAAATCATTGACCAGGAAAAAGGAGAGGGTTACAATACCACCAGTTTTCTATAAACTGTGGAGCACAGATTCTGAAGGTTCAAAGTTTCAGAGGTCTGCTAAATTTCAAGGTTAATGCCTAGGGACCTGAGCAGTGCTCCAGTGGGAAAGCAGAGCTGAGCTCCGGCAGTGAGCAGCCTAAGGATCCAAAGGGTCACATTGAGAGACAAGTAGGTCCCCTGCTTGGAGTGCATTTGGTAGAGGTGATATGACCTTTCCATGGGCAAAGGATCCTGCTGGCACCATTAAGCTGTCCCACTAA